CTCTTACTGCTTAGGTTTTTTTCCCCGAATGCCAAAGCTTACATGAGTTTGTGTAGAGCCAGTAACTTTATTAAATCCTATATATGTAGGCGGAGGCTGTCATTTAAGTAGCTATTAAGACATATTTCATGAAATTTAACAAAAACCAGTTTGATGCTATCGATTTCAGTGCATTTTTCTATAAGCTTTCTTAAAGTTTGACCCGAGATACAACTTAAGTGATCTATTATCTGAAAGAGAGGGAGTAGTGCATCAAAACCGTTGACAAATAATGACAATCATATCGTCCATGTTATGCACATGACATGGCTACTTCTCCGGTTATTTTCATTGGTTTGACAGTCCTTGTGTGCCATCTTATATATGGATCGTTATATTCTTTAATTGGACATTACCAAAAAGACACATGTGTGTAACCGGCCATCACAGCCGTTGAAAAAGTGTTGTTAGATATGATTATATATCGGAAAGGCCAAAGTAATTGGTATCTTTTATTTATCATCGTCCCAAGCAAAATAAATGTGCACGGGATGTTTATTCATGATCATTTTTGGGCAAGCTTCACCATAAAAGCAGGGGGGCTTTTTTTTTCGAATAGCAGGGAGACATGTGTTGATAGAAATAGAAAGAACAAAAGAAAATGACACCTTAGTAGTTTGGGCCCATCTGTATTGTTGACGTAATTAATTGGGCCGGCCAGTTTACTCTAGTTTTCAATGGAATGTACTATTTGGTATTAAATGATGATTAGGATTAGGAAAGCGTAATCATCAAATCATGCATTGACTTAAGCCGGGCGGCTAGGCTTAGATTGACTATTTACTTTTATCATAAATATAAGTTTATTAGATTTGTCCTAAGTCATATCTTTTAAATTTAACCATCAATATACAAAATTTTATATAGACTAACAATACAAGATCGGTGTTACTAGATTTAAAAAATACTTCTATATTTTTTTTCATTAACACAAACATTCATATAACACTCACACACACTTAACCCTATAAATACCAAAATACAAACTCTAGCCCTATGAGCATCTCCAAAATATTAGGTACGTAAAAAGTCATCATAGGTGCGTCGGCGCGTCGCTATCGAGTTGCACATCGCCTATCGTATAATAAATCTAGAAAAATACGAGCGCATGTGGCAAGTCAAAGACTTGACCTACACTCAATTCACAATACTTATATAATATATAACTACTTTAAAATAGTATACTTTTATGGATATTATTAGTTAAAGTAAAAAAACGAGCACAAACTTAGATGGACTTATATTTGTGATATGAGGAAGTAGATAACTCGCATGACTAGTCGGATATTGATTAGGCTTCATCCTTGTTTATTAAATGCAATTGGTTTGTCGCTGGTCAAGCATGGGCTAGATCATGGTTCGATCTGTCTGGTTAAGAACTTGATGCGAGGTTTATTGCTGTTTCCAGCCAGTTTAATATTACTGGAAATGTTTTTATAATATTTGTTTTACAAGAACAGATTTGGTTGCTTGGATTTTTTGTTTTTTTTTTTTTAAAATATTCACAAATAGACCTCTGGAGGTATCCTTTTATTTTCTAGACCTTAGACTTGGCGCCGTGGCAATTGGCGCCGAGGCTGTCTCGGCATCGTTGCTTTTGGCGCTAAGGTCGGAGGTCGGCGCCGGCATGGCGTCCTGCGTGGTGGCTTGCGTGGCACGACATGGCACTGGGATCGGCGACGTAGATCTTGGCGCCAGGGCCGTGCCCCATACATATGCAAGATGTGTGATCGTACAAGGCCTCCCATTTAGAGGGGCCTCAAAAATTACGACCCATCAAAGCCTGTTGACTCTAGGATTAGTTGCCGACGTTGTGTCTCTTCGTAGTAGCGTTGCAAAATCCATCTAGTTTGTATCGGTCCATCTCCCCATCTAAGCATCTCCATCTTCCCAATCAAGCAAGCCCAAGTGACTAAATCACCATCCGCACATGACTGAAGAGTGAAGGCTACCAAGGGTTGAATATATACGATTCTTCATTTATCGCAATACTATGCACATGTTATTATCGTTCTATTTTCTAGGCTGGTAAGGCCTATTTTAGAGTTTGGAACAAGGCCCTAGATTTTACCGGCATGGCCAGCGCACCAAAGTCTGCTGACAAGTGGGGGGGCCTTTTTTCTTTCCTTTCTCAGTTCTCTCTCTCCCATTCTCTCTCTCGCTGTGACCGAATGCCTCTTCGCCTCCGACCATGCAGTCCCAGGCCTCCCACCTCGTCGCCAAAGCAAATGGCACCAATTGTTACGGCGCTGAGCCTAGGGTCTAGAAAATAAAAGGATACGTCTAGGGATCTATATGTAATTATTTTTTCAAAAAGGGCCAAAAAAAATTAAACAAATTGAATCAGCGATGGGTCAACATCCGGGTCGCATCTGTATGGAGAGGGTACTTCATCTAGGGCAGAATCAGACCTAGGGATGGAGACATATACTACTACTACTACTACATATTAATCATTTTTTAGTCTAACTAAATTTCTTGAATTTTAATCAAATTTAAGGTAGCATTGAGTATCAAATTAATTGTATTATTAATTCTACCATGGAATATCTCTAGCTAGCACATTTATTTGGTATTACAAATTTTAGAATAATGATATAAATCTTGATCAAAGTCAAAGAAATTTAACATAAGACAAAAAATATATTTTATAAAAAGGAATAATGCTAACGTTCAACAATTTAAGTTAGTATCTTTTGGTCAAAACCAAATGCATTTATTTTCTTTCGCTCTACTTTGCGCCCCATTATGAGCATATACACTAGAAAATGATATAATTTCCAAGTAATTAGAGTCTAGATTAAAATAGGAAATACAAATTATACACCTTTGATGGAGTTTATTAGAGGAGTTTTTTTTTAGTGGAACAACGAAGGATGTAAAACCAACCTTTTCTCTTTCTTTTCACCATCGGGAGGCCACGGCCCACTAGCCCAGCCCAGCCCATTGTGTATGTCCTGGATTCGGTAGTGTGTGATGGACTATAAATTTTAGAGGAAGACATTTTCCTTCTTTAATATTCCTGTGCGTTTTAACGAAACATAAAGCTTGTCTCGTCTATTCCAATGCATTTGCAAATCATATTATGTACCATAAATCCTAGACCCTAAACCCTGAACAGACGGAATCAAGGGCCCAATCAAATGGGATCAAGGGGGGCCCTAACTGTCTCCGAGGGCCGAGGCTCACCGGCGGGCGGCGGCGGCGCTGCGCTGCCCGCGCACCAAGCACACAACCACCGTCTTCCCTACAGAAGACCAACCACGCCCCCACGGTGCGGCGATGCCCAGCCAACACCTCGCGCAACTACGCCATACCATAGTCGCCGCCGCCATAAATTGGAGCCCAGGGGATGAGATGAGAGAGGAAGAAGTGCGGGCGAGTCTGCAGTGCTCCTTTCGCTTCGGAGACGGTGAGCTTGTTGGTTTTTTTCTTGCTTATCGCGGATTCGCCGCATGTTGATTCGTAAGGAGACCCGCAATCTCCATGGCATTCCTCCACCCGTACGATGCATTACTTTTTGGCGCTACTGATTGCTCTCCGCCGTTCTCTAGGCTGCGTACTAGCATTTGTTGCATCAGGGACGGTGACGATTAGTCGGCCACCTTTGCTTTCTCTCTCCAGATTCTAGATGGAAATTAGCATCCCATTGGAGTTAAATAGAATAGTCATTAAAAAAACCTTTGTACTTGTACTATAAATTTTACAATTAGAAGTGTTCAATCCTATCATGAGAGGTAACATTGAATTTTACCCGAAAAAATGTCTGTTTAGCTCTTGAAAGTTGCAATGACACATTTGACTAGTCGAGTACCAAGAGGCATTACTTTGTGAAATGATAGTGTTCACAGTTCATGGGGCAGAAGAAGAGAAAGTAGATGGAAATTTGAGGATAAGTGTACCTTCCACCCTGTAACTTCTGCTTGCCTCCAAATTTGCTCTCAGTTTTGCAATACAAATGTTCAGGCTAGCCTTACAGGCACCATAAAATTCCTCAAAAAGCAAAAGAAAAGAACAAAGAAAAAGAGAGTAGGCAATCCACGATATAACACTTTGACATGTTGGTACTATCAGAGGCACAGGTTCCTCATGATTGCAATGTTGTTACACAGAAGAAATTAACTGACATTGCTACTTGCCAGTATTCTTGTTTTCATGTTGTCTAGTGAAAATACCTTATTTTCTTGAGAAGTATTGATTGAACCATCTAGTCGTAGATTCATACATTTGGATACTGCAATCAGATGGTGGATGGAACCTATAAGGTATAATGCTCTTGAAGCAAGATTCATAATTCAAATGAATATCTGTACATGAAGAAAAGAAGTATATAAATGAGAATTCCGAATCATTGTTTATGCAGAACAGAATTGCAGATCTTACATATTCAACATCGAGCTGCCCTAAATTCAATAATGAAGTATGAGATACTGTTATCAACATTTTGATAAATATGTTAGTACCCTGGATACTTTATGTTGTAAACTTGTTGCTATGCATGCATGCATGGGAAACTTGCTCGTAAGTTAAAACCTCTTTTGTTTTTGCCTGAGAAGATATGACTTGGCCATGGTTGGTGATCTGAAGTAAACTGTTGCCGACAGGCTTTTTGAAAACATTAAACATTAGGTTTTCACGATAGTAAAGGTAAACAGTGTTATCTTTTGTTTTTTCATTTTAGTTTTCTTGTTGTACTGTAAATGGCTGTCTCTAGTAGCATTATTCTAAGATATACCTACTGTCAAACACAAAGGTTGAAATCTTGCATGTACTCGTTGCAGCCGATTTTTGTGCAGGTTTGTATATTGGTTCTTTATGATTACCGCTCAGCGTACAAAATTGATGAAAAAGGTGAGTATACAGCCATTTGCCAAGAATATTTTTGAGCTTGCTGTTATGTGTGTGAAACAGTAGCTGAAGATTCATCTAGTCCGTACCTCTGTTGTGTTGCTATGATGCATTTAGAATAATCTTATTCTTATGCTCCAGTCGGTCATGGTACTATCATCTTCAATCTCTATGGTTGGTACATGAGCAATTTTAGGCCAATATTCACCATCATTTTCTTTGCAGCTCTTTGTTAACAGTGGGCATTCTTTGATGTACAATTCTTTCAGTGATTGTGGGAGGCCCTGTTCTGGCAAGCTTGGTATAAGAGGACAGTTCAAAATGGTCATAGCTACCAAACAAGATGCTGCTTCTATACCAGGAGGCAAGCATCTTAGGTTGCTACAATGGAAGATCTCCAACTTTTTCAGAGTGGCAGGAAGCTTTACTGGAAAATAGTGAAGGCTGGCACAATCAGTTATGGCAAGATTTATCATTGAGGATATCTCATCAATCTCTCGAAGAAGACGATTGATTAGGTTGGAGCACGAGCTGATGCGTAGATCTTCAAGCATGGAGGGCAGCAAACTATGCTGTTGGGATGGTTCCAGCTTCGGACAATCATAGATATGAATACTCTTAAGAGCAATCAGGGCTCTGAATCCTTCAACTGGCAGGTGAGTTAATTCTGGGCAGCCTGTGATGGTTAATTGCTGGAGTGTTGATAATTTCTGGCAAAGCAATCCTTGCTCTAATGATAGATTTGGGCACTGGTGAATCTGTAGGCATACCAATGATGATGAAACTTGAGAGCTTGGAGTATGTATCTCTGGAAGAATAGTGAACCCTGTTTCAGAAATTTTGAGCTTCACTACTGATGATGGGAAAGATGGGAATTCTTCTAGTAGTGGGCAGTCAATCACTGCAAGTTCTGTGAGCAATGGAAGCAACTGACCATCTTGTACAGAAGCCCAACCTTTTAGGTTAGACATGTCTTCAAATACGAGTTCCTTCAGTGATGGAAACCCCTTGACTTCACTGATTCCTGAAAACTCTTGGCTCTTGGTTGATGTGAACAATGGCATGGAGACCCCCAATATCTAAAAATTTGAGTAGGGGAAGTACTCCAAGCGCTGGTAGAACTGAACAGTTTGTACAGTCAGACAGGTGGATGGTTTGCAATTGAGTTAGTTTACTTAACCAATTTGGAAAGTATAAGCCTGCAAAGGCCTTGACTGTCAGCTCACTGAGTTCATGATGTGGTTGAAGGTGTTCAAGTATCTTTATGTCTTTATCTGCTGTTTTTGAAGTCAAGCGCCTCCTTTCAGACCATATAAGGTGTAAATTGTTGATGTTTGTCTTCTTCATTAGCAAAGCTTCATTAGCCTCTTCCACACTAGCCACACTCTCAAGATTCTTAATGCAGATATGTCCTGTGATCCCCTTCATTGCCTTCAACTCACTGATCTTGTATCCTTTGTCCTTACGGACAACAAATTCGTCCAGCTGTTGAAGGCAAGTCAAGTTCCCTATTCCAGCTATGCCAGTGATCAACTCCGTTCTTGCTTCTAGCCATCGAAGATTTACGAGATTGGTTATGGTCTTTGGGAGGTAATCTAATGCAAGGCAGTTTTGCAGCTTCAGTGTTTGCAGGCTGAAGAGCCTACCAATTGATGAAGGCAACGTTGCTATTCCAGTGCCTGAAAGATTCAAATATCGAAGCAATTTTAAGTTACCAATAGAATCAGGCAGCTCAGTAATATTTCGTCGGTTCAGATTAAGCACATGAAGGTACTTCAACTTGAGGAACAGATCACTGGGTATAGAGCTTGTTATCGATTTGTATCCATTTAGTAGTAAAAGTGTGCGAGCTCTCTTAAATCCAAGGAAAGCTTCAAATTGGGTCCAGCCTCTGTTGTCACAAGAGAATGATAGATGCCTGGCACTTCTTTCAGGGCTGCTGCTGTGCGGGGGATCATGCAGTCTTAGGCCTTCATCCAATCTTAGGAACTCATCAATTGAGACAGACTGTGCTAGGTCATGCATGGCATCATGCATTACATATCCACTTTTGTGGTATTGGAAGAAGGATCTGCTTTGTAATTCATCAAAATAGCCACTCCCAATTTCTTCCATCTTCCTCCTTCCTTGAGGCTGAATGAACCCAAGGGCCATCCAGATTTGAACCAACCTTCTTTTCTCAAAGACGTAATCTTTGGTAAACACTGAACAAAATGCAAAACATCGCTTTAGTGTGGCTGGCAAATGGCTGTAGCTCAATCTCAGAGCTGGCAATATGTTATTCTTGTCTGATGGCAATTCCCATATTTCACTCTTTAATATGTTCTTCCAATCTTCCTCTGCATCCCTGGTACATAGTAAACTGCCTACTGCTTTTGCAGCTAGTGGCAGGCCTTTCAACTTCTTCACGATGTCCTTGCCTATCATTTCCAATTCTGGGTGTGAACTGGAGTCACCATCTACAAATGTGTGTTTCTTGAACAACTGCCAGCAATCGTTGTTTGATAGCTGCTTTAGATGGTAAGGAGTCATCCCGCCCATTAGTATCCCCACATTTTTGTTTCGTGTGGTAATTATAATCTTGCTTCCCTTTCCCCCGCTAACTAGAGCACAGCGATATCTGTCCCATTTTTCAGGATCCTCATTCCATACATCATCAAGGACTAGAAGAAATCTTTTACCTTGCAGCTTTTTTGAGAGGTCTTCTTGAAGCAGGTTCATGTTTGTTGTGGCTGATGAGAACCCACTAGCAACTGATTCAATTGTTTCCTTGGTAAGCTTCATCTCATCAAAATTTTCAGAAACACACAGCCACACCCTTAACTGGAAATGCTCCTTTACTCTTTCATCATTGTAGATGAGCTGTGTTAGTCGTCTTTCCTAGTCCCCCCATGCCCACTGTGGGAATAATAGAAAGGTTGGCATGGCCCGAGTTATTGGGGGCCAGCAACATCTTCACAATGGTTTCTTTATCTTCTCTTCCAAACACACTTGAGTCATCGATCAGTGAACTTGTTTTGGGCCTCTCCTTTATCTCCGTCCTGTCGGTCCCACTGTTCATGTTTGGACCAATAATCTGTCTTTCTTTGATAAGCCTATCGAGTTTCCCCTCAATCTTCCTTATTTGCTGCACTATCTTATGGTTAAATAAACAATTGTTCAACCAAAAACAGCAGAGAGCTCCTAACCTTCTTCAGATGGTCATGGTTGAATGGACCTTCTAGTTTGGATCGCAGAGTCTCAGCTGCATACTCATCAATCAAGTCATCCATCTCATCCGCGACACCCTTGAGCTTGGCAAGCCAGCTGCGTGCAGCCGTATCCTTCAATTGCTGCTCCTCCGCATCTTCAACATGAAATTGAATTGTTGACAGGATGCTCGATAAGTTATGCAGTTCTTCAGTGACATCTCGAGGGAATCTCAGCTCTCCGATAGTAGCAGCAAGCACTTTCTCAAAGAGTGCCTGCATGAAGGCAGACAGTACAACCTCTCCAATCGGCATAGTGTTTTCCCCCTTTTGGTTGTCTATTGTCTCCCTCCTAGCAATGCAAATGAGGAATGCCATGAGGTGGTTGAGGCCTGAGGGCACACTGAGTTATTTCTGTACCAAGTACCATTGACCCTCTACTTGTAGAATTTAATAACAAATTTTTCTGAAGAAATAAGTCTCTCTTTTTTTTGTCATGCCATTGCAAGTCCCGGCCAAATAAGTTCTGAAAGAACTGTTATCTGATTGGTGACGTCTGTATTATGGTCATTTGGATCACGAAGTCTAGGCAAAGTTTATTTCATAAAAGAAATTATCCATGTATTACATGTGTTTCTTGAAAACAGTTTCTATAGCTTGTATAGTTCATCCGAGTTATCTGTTGTTTTACTACTGAAATTGTTTATTAAGCATGGCAACCCTGATGTCTTCTGCAGTGCAGGCAAGGGGTTAAGTTGCCAATTCCTTACTTTCACGTATAACGGTGCTTCTGGAAACGAAGTGAAGGAATCAATCCTGGCAACTTCCTGGAAAGGCGAATGAAAGGCACATATTTCCTTCCATTGCCTCTCTAGTCAACGGTGTTTGGCCGATGCTGGATAGAAAATCTTGAAAAGAAGCTCCGTGTACAGGTGCACGCCACTTAGCATCATTGACTGGATAAACAGGTGCACACAAGTCTCAGCTCATTAGATTAACATATCTGTTAGATACTGTGTTAAGGTCCGTGCTTCGTTATGCTTGCTTGGCGTGCTTCATGTTTCACACCAGCAAGTCCCCTAAGCTTTTTACGAAATGTCAAAGCACAGAAGCCAAGTCGCTGTTTCTGCTGTTCTTGAAGAGTTGAGGTCAGTCTGTTGTTTCTTCATTTTCGACATGTTGTTTCTTCGTTTGTTCTCCGAGATTTCTAACAAGTAGCAACGGACAAGTTCAGGCACTTCTTTTTTTTTTTTTTGACAAAAAGCCCGTTCGCTTGCTCGTATCTTGCTTTATAAGCCAACAAACAGTATTTTTCTCTCACACCAAACCAACCAACAGTACTTTGAGCCATGGCTTATAAGCCAAACTCAGCCCAAACGAACGGGCCGAAAATAACATGCAGCTGCTCGTTTATTAATCACAGTGGATTTAATGCAGCTTATTTGGTGCTGCAAATGTTGTTACTTTGTTCAATAAACTTTGACAATTCCAAAAACATATTATAATAATAAGCATTAAAAACTTCCATGTCTTTGGCTGTTTGTTCATGTTTTCGATCTTGTAAGAAATCTGTTCATATTATTATGGGTTTTTAAACGTACAACTGTCAATATAGCAGTGCAATTTTCAACAAAAATATTTTTTTAACTTAGATATTACCATACATCTCGGATCTCTTACATATTACATGGAAGAGTATAGTACAGTACATCAACGCCCGTAGGCCTGTACTATAACTTAACCTAGCGGGCTTTCAGGCCCGCACCTCCGCCTAGTGCGGAGGCGAAGTGGCAGCCCACAGGCCACCTTTTAAACTCGTCGCCCAGTGCTAGCCAGACGATGTGGGACAAAACTTTCGGCCCAAGGCATGCAGGCTTAAACGGAAGCGCCACCAGCTATCTCGCTTGGAGGCTGGGGTAAAAAAGAAGAAGGAAAAAAAAATACTAGTACAGAGAAGACCCAATCGTGGTTTGGTGGGCCCGGCCTAGCTATTAAGACCCAATCGCACGAAACCCCTCCGGAATTTCTTATCCCTCCCTCATCTGCTCCGCCTCCGGCCTCGCGCGAGACGAGCAAGCCCAACACGAGTATGGCCGGAGCTGCAGCCGCCGCCGTGGCGTCCGGGATCTCGGCCCGGCCGGCCGCGCCGAGGAGGGCCTCGACGGGGCGCCGCGCTCGGCTGCCGGTGGTGCGGGCCGCGATATCCCTCGAGAAGGGCGAGACGGCGTACACGGTGCAGAAGTCCGAGGAGATCTTCAACGCCGCCAAGGTACCGGTCCTCTCTGATTCCTTCGCTCAGCAGCTCCTTCATGCCGTCCCAGAATTCCCCTTCGTTTCGGAGGGCCTCGTTACTTTTGAGGTGTGAATTCGGAAGAAGAGACGTCGCTTGCGGAATGCGTTGTTTGTGGTTGTCGTGGAAATTGTGGCCAATCGGTTCGCTTTTCTTTTTCTGTATTTCCGCCAATGCGTTGGTGGTAACGCAATAAGAGGTGGATTGTCAAAGATGGCTTGGAATATGGAAACCGGGGGCTGGGAGAGGGTCTGGAATGGGGCCGACATTGTGAGCTTAGTAAGGTCAACTACGCTCCAATTGACACATTAGACAGCCATGCAAATGAAAGGAATCCTCGCTGTAAGCAATCCTACTGAGATAGGATTACCTAGGTGCAGAAAGCAATACTTTTGATGTGACAAACCGGTCAAATACCATACTTTTATGCAGTTAGTAGCCATTTCTTTGTGAGTCATGCTTTAGTCCTGGATCTGTAGCTGTAAACTGCATAAAATGTACAACCCTGATTGTATGTCATGAAATGGTGGGGACTATCATCACCATGACCAGTGTTAGGATCTTTCACCATTTTGAGATCTCAGTCAGTTTGTCATCATTTTTTCCCATTGTTCTGGATGTTTTATTAACTGATGTTTCACTGTTTCTCAGGAGCTGATGCCTGGAGGTGTCAATTCACCAGTCCGTGCCTTCAAATCTGTTGGTGGGCAGCCTGTAGTGTTCGACTCTGTAAAGGGTTCTCGTATGTGGGATGTTGATGGGAACGAGTACATCGATTATGTTGGTTCCTGGGGTCCTGCAATCATCGGTCATGCAGATGATAAGGTACAAAATTGATTATGTTGGTTCCCGACCAATATGTGTTATGTGAATCTGAAGTATTTCATCATAATTCTTTTGCAAGTTAACCTTGGGTTTGCTTGTGTTTTCCTATCCCATAATGTTCTTTTATGATAGTTGATAGCGTAGCTTACTTCTATTTCCTATAATACTTAATTGGATTACTTGGACTAATCTGCATCCCATTTGTGAATCTACTAAAATTTCTCAACCTTTGTATGTATCATAAAATTTTCTTGGTCTGGTTTTGTAAATCAAACTGGCGAAATCCATTATGGCCTTACTTCACCTTCAAATATCTGTCAACTTATAGCGTGATTTTTGAACCACTATTTAATATATTGGAAAAAGGATACTATATTTGATTCGGCAACATTTGGCTTAAGCTGGCTTGAGAATTGACAAAGCTAAATTTAAATCATCATACTTATATCTTGTTTGATTCAGGTGAATGCTGCATTGATTGAAACACTGAAGAAAGGAACTAGCTTTGGTGCTCCATGTTTGCTGGAGAATGTATTGGCTGAGATGGTCATCTCTGCTGTACCAAGTATCGAAATGGTCCGCTTTGTCAATTCAGGGACAGAAGCCTGCATGGGAGCACTCCGCCTTGTGCGTGCATTCACTGGGCGGGAGAAGATTGTCAAGTTCGAAGGCTGCTACCATGGCCATGCTGATTCCTTCCTTGTCAAAGCTGGCAGTGGTGTTGCCACCCTTGGCCTCCCAGACTCCCCTGGTGTCCCCAAGGGGGCCACCTATGAGACTTTAACAGCACCCTACAATGATGTTGAGGCAGTGAAGAAATTGTTCGAGGACAACAAAGGGGAGATTGCTGCTGTCTTCCTCGAGCCAGTTGTTGGCAATGCTGGTTTTATTCCCCCACAACCTGGTTTCCTCAGTGCCCTCCGTGACTTGACCAAACAGGATGGTGCACTCCTGGTCTTTGATGAAGTGATGACCGGTTTCCGCCTGGCGTACGGTGGAGCTCAAGAGTACTTCGGGATCACCCCTGACGTGACAACCTTGGGTAAGATTATTGGGGGTGGCCTCCCTGTTGGTGCCTACGGTGGGAGGAGGGATATCATGGAGATGGTTGCCCCAGCAGGACCAATGTACCAGGCAGGAACTCTCAGTGGAAACCCTCTAGCCATGACTGCTGGAATTCACACGCTCAAGCGTCTTACAGAGCCCCGCACCTACGAGTACTTGGACAAGATCACTGGCGAACTCATTCGTGGGATATTGGATGTGGGTGCGAAAACGGGGCACGAGATGTGCGGTGGACACATCAGAGGAATGTTTGGCTTTTTCTTCACCGGTGGACCCGTCCACAACTTCGGTGATGCCAAGAAGAGCGACACTGAGAAGTTTGGAAGGTTCTACCGTGGCATGCTGGAAGAGGGTGTGTACCTGGCTCCCTCGCAGTTCGAGGCGGGTTTCACCAGCTTGGCGCACACCTCCCAGGACATCGAGAAGACCATCGAGGCTGCTGAGAAGGTTCTGAAGCGGATATAGGGGTTCTGCTACTGAGTATGCAGAGAGCATTTCCTCCTATTTACCTTCTTGTACTCTTAGTTCTATATGTCACGGAGGTTTTGTATTGTGCAGCAGCAGGACAGCTTTTGTAGCTCCCTCTTTCTGAATTAGTGTGTCTTGTTTTTTGCAGTGCTAATAAATCTCTGGTCCACAATTACGGTTGTTATACTGATGTTCAGATATAGGATTGTTTCATCCTTGTGCTCAGCTGTTCTGTTGGTCTGGGTATATGCAATAATGGAAGGAGCAAAGCAGAGCGAGCATGCTGTTTAGATTTCTTTCATGTAATAGGGTAGCCCATATTTTAGCAGCGATGGGGTGTGATCGTCGAGAGGGCGATGATCCATTAGTGGATCCTCTCCAGGTTGTATCCAAGAGATTGTTGCTGCCGATTGTGCGGCTTCTGAGTAATGAAATCCATTTCCAAAAAAAAGAAAGAAAGAAAGAAAGAAAAAAAAGAAAAGAAAAGAAGAGCCTCGACACGACCCGATGTCTGATGATATCACTTAAGCCCCCAATCCATGTGTATTCAGGCACAGAGCAACCACAACTGTGCCCACCAAGACATCACCAAAGCATGGAACTCCTTCATTAGACCCATTTTGATACAAACCACTGTCCACAAAGATCCCATTTTACACGACGGCAATTCCTGTTCACAAACACAAATTTATTGACCCACCCACCCCAACCACCACCGGCGATAAACAATCGGTGAGCCAACTGGATTCATTCCCGTGGTCGTGCAATCCAGAGAGAACTCAGAGCGCGTAGCCGGGAAAGATAGTCACTGATTGCAAGCAGTGCTCGTGCAGACTGGCGGGTGGTCAGTATGCGCTGCATCTCTTCAAGAGTCTGCCTTCGCAGATCGTCAGCCTGCAAATACAAGATCTTTTAAAAAGCAGAAAAAAGAGCGTTGGTTCCGCAAATTTACCAATTACAAGACATCAATCAACGAGAAACAGCATATAACCAAGGGGCAAGTTCCATGGTCTGCTGAATGTGTTGTGTACCTCCTGTAGGAAGCTTTCTAGAGTGCCAAGCTTCCCAACTGCCGCTGCCATTTGCCCCGAGCAATCTGCAGCGTTACCAGAAGAACCAGCAGGATACAGGGATCCTGACGCAAGGGTTTCTGCGACCGACTGTTGCAGTGCTCTCACCCCCTGCGAAAGGTCCTCTTCAGCTTGTTGCGAGGACTGTTGCAGGCTGTATATACTTGCAAGCTGCTGTTCAGTAAGGGGTTCCAGATGACTTGCAAGCAACTGCGTAAAAGGAAACCGGAAAAATCTTTCAGCTTTGACAGAAGTACACTGATGCAATAGGGGCAAGTGAGAGAGATCATAAACCTTTAGAAGCTCTGACGGTCGAAGTCCACCTAACCACATAAAACACCTCTCGACAGGGGTCTTCCACATTCCTGACAGCACGTGGAAAGCATCTGCCTTGGCTGCTACACCCTTAAGCCTGAAAGCTTCACGGTAATGTGCCATGATGCTATCGATAATACGCCGAAGATCATCGTCACTGGCATGTGCATTGAGTGCAGCCCTCAATTCATTTATCTGCTTATTGTAGTCATCTTGCCACCGAGCATAGTCCATGTCAAATGCCAAAGCACCTAGGAATACGAAGTATAGCTTAATTCAAGATCTTCTACGGCGTGGCCTAAATCATTTGACACAAAAACAGTAAATTACCATTGTCACTAGTTGAATGAGGCTGGTCTCCTGGAGTAGGAATAAAAATGCCCTGAACAAGTAGCAAAATGCTGAAAAAACAGTTTGTTCAACAGGAACTGCAGATTTTCAAATCCAAAAATCAAAAGGTGAGTACATGACGAGCATACCTGTTGGCGAGCACGCTGGAGCTCCTGCTCCAATTGACTAAGTTTCAGCCTGCTGTTCTCAAGTTGCTCAACATATGCCTAAGGATGAAGAAATGGGTAAATATTATAATTTCAGAGCAGTCCTTATGCACAAGGAAAATTCTATCCACCATCATGTAGATGAAACTACCTTCTTTCTTAGACGGCTTTTCCTAGCAGCTTCACGGTTTTGGGCCAGACGGCGGAGTGCCTACCATTAATTAAGTCAGTAAAAAGAGAAGTCTGTGACAACAGAATGATCAGATGATCGCTTCAGTGAATGTGTAGAATTTTAATACCTTTTGACCAAGCTTATCCTTTGATTTGTTGCCAGAATCAGAAGCTGTAAGGGATACAAGCTGCCCTAGTTCCAACTGATAAGTAAACAAGCTCAGTATATATCAAGAATACAAGTAACGTTACTTGGAAGCAAACTAATTGCTTCGGTTGACACGAGAATATCATCAGAATGGATAAACAACCATTAGTGTGTTTTTAATTTATGATCGATACATTAAAATTTTAAAAGACATCATTATCACAATATTTTCAAGTTCTACTCATGTCAAAGTTATGGTATGTCTAGATTTCTTTTTAAATAACATCCACATTAGTAATGCACTGAGCATCTACAAAATATTTCAAAACAGAAAAGTACCATTTGATTCTTCTCGTCAGTATCGAGATCTGTTGACGTATCAGTCCCGGGGCTCACATAAGCCATCTCAGACTCTTCCCAGTTCTCAGTGTCCCGTGTTGTTCAGAACTTAAGCTACCAGATTTGGTCGTGCTTCTCTTAGCTGTACTTCTGATGGAAGTTCAACTTTAGGTGCTGCAGCCTGCAGCACTTCCAAAATACAAAGCATAGAATGAATGGGAGACAAATCTGTAAATTTGAACCATATAAAAGATTATGAAGCCATTTTATCTTATAAAACTGGGAACAGTCACCGACTCAACAGATATGATCAGAAAATAAAAGGCACACCTTACTCTAACTAGCAAGCTGAAGGCGATTAATTGGCTGGATTCAACAAGGACTCTGAACAAAAGAGAACATAACGCTAACCAAGCTGCACATTCCAGCTTCAGCAAAGGAACAGATAAATAACGAATAGGCACAGCCAAAACTGAAGCTACTTGTGTTCAGCAAAATTGTTCAAAAACCAGATTGCATGCGCAATCCGAGAATTTAGCAGCATACCTGTGGCTGGGGTGGTGCTGTCTTCCAAACGGACCTCGCAGACTGCTCAATGCCAGAAACCCGAGCGAGAAGGATGCTTTGGGCATATGTGCAGCGCAGCTGAAAATTGTGACTTCTGAAGCCTCTGTACATATGGTATATATGTACATTGTAGAACAGAACATATATTCCCCAGTCCCCAGTCATATCTCTAGCTAGGCTTGCCATACGTGTCCTACGTCCAACACGCATTCAGTAACCCACCATGAATGCGATCTATCACAGAAATGTGTAGACGGCGGCAAAACTTCTTTCCCCTCCACAAGGAGCGCGTTGCAGGCTTCAGTGAACAAGTATGTCCACACTCCACACCATAGCGTAGCGGCGTAGCTGCATGTGCCTCTGAACTTTTCAGTCTATCTAGTCATTAATTGGGGGCTAAACGAAACTGAGTGGATTGGGCAGCAACCAAGCCAGAGCAGAGCTTGCTGAATCTGATGCAAACCGATGAGAATCTTGAGAAATCTATCCACAAAAGTTTGCAAAGGCTGCAGCCTGATTGAGAAAGTGTTGACGCTTGCAAAGTCCACGTCCACTTCACACGCCAAACTCAACTACTCAAGCTATCAAGATTCAAGCACCAGGCATTGGCAATGGACGGATAGACACAACGGAGCATCGCGCACTGGCACGGTGCGCCTAGTAGCTGAACTCCAGCTGGTCGGGTTTTTTTTTTTTTGAAAACGAACAAGGCAATGTTGTGTGCGTGATCTGGGCCACGCGCGTGACGGCAACAGCAAGCTCGGCATGGGCACACGGAAGCTTCTGTTGTTTTTCTGTGTTGGGCAAAAAGAAGGCAACCGAAGGCAAAGCAAGCAGCCGTTACCTTCCCGCCATTCCCTCCCAGCCTACCCTTTGATGGCCAGCCCATCCACCCCTCCGAGAAAGGATCCCCCGCGCACCCCACCGCCCACCCGGACATCTCTCCCCGGGTTTGCTGCGCCTGCGCGTCCGCGTCCCCGGAGCGCGAGGCCCCCCGTGTCGCCGTCGTCCCCCTCGCCGACGACATGGGCAACTGCTGCTGCCCGGGGTCGTCGTCCGCGGAGCCCGCGCTGCCGCCGGACTCCTATGCCGGCTCGTCGCGCCCCGTGGGCAGCGCCACGGTGCCCCCGCCGACCTCGGTGTCGTCGTCGGCGACCACGGCACCCACGCCAAACAAGCCCCCGGCCCCCATCGGCCCCGTGCTGGTCCGCCCGATGGAGGACGTCAAGAGCACCTACACCGTGGGCAAGGAGCTCGGGCGCGGGCAGTTCGGCGTCACGTCGCTGTGCACGCACAAGGCCACGGGGCAGAAGTTCGCTTGCAAGACCATCAGCAAGCGGAAGCTGTCCACCAAGGAGGACATCGAGGACGTGCGGCGCGAGGTGCAGATCATGTACCACCTCTCCGGCCAACCCGGCGTCGTGGAGCTCAAGGGCGCCTACGAGGACAAGAGCAACGTGCACCTCGTCATGGAGCTCTGCGCCGGCGGGGAGCTCTTCGACCGGATCATCGCCAAGGGCCACTACACCGAGCGCGCCGCCGCCTCGCTGCTCCGCACCATCGTCGAGATCGTGCACACCTGCCACTCCATGGGCGTCATCCACCGCGACCTCAAGCCCGAGAACTTCCTCCTCCTCAGCAAGGACGAGAACGCGCCGCTCAAGGCCACCGACTTTGGCCTCTCCGTCTTCTTCAAAGAAGGGGAGGTGTTCCGGGACATCGTCGGCAGCGCCTACTACATCGCGCCGGAGGTGCTGAAGCGGAGCTACGGGCCCGAGGCCGACATATGGAGCGTCGGCGTCATCGTCTACATCCTGCTCTCCGGCGTTCCGCCATTCTGGGCAGAATCGGAGCACGGCATCTTCAATGCCATCCTGAGAGGGCAGGTCGACTTCACCAGCGACCCATGGCCGCGCATCTCGCAGGGCGCCAAGGACCTTGTCAGGAAGATGCTCAATCCTGACCCTAAGCAGCGGATTTCTGCATACGACGTCCTCAGTAAGTGTCTTGCCTTGCTTATTTTTCCTGAACATCAAAAAACAGTAGTAGCATGCTACGAGTAGTAAATACTGAAATGGTGCCTGTGGTGTTCGTTCAGATCACCCGTGGATCAAAGAAGACGGCGAGGCGCCTGACACGCCGCTGGACAACGCCGTTCTCGGCCGGCTCAAGCAGTTCAGAGCTATGAACCAGTTCAAGAAGGCTGCTCTGAGGGTTATCGCGGGATGCCTGTCAGAGGAGGAGATCAGGGGGCTCAAGGAGATGTTCAAGAGCATGGACTCCGACAACAGCGGCACGATAACCGTGGACGAGCTGCGGCGAGGGCTGGCCAAGAAGGGCACCAAGCTCACCGAGGCCGAAGTCCAGCAGCTCATGGAAGCTGTAAGATCGAATTGAAGCAGCCTGAAAAACAAAACCCAAATGCACCGTGAAATGTATGTATTCAGTATCTCCGGACCTGAAGCTAGCGCGCGCTTTGAATCGCAGGCCGACGCCGACGGGAACGGGACGATCGACTACGAGGAGTTCATCACGGCGACGATGCACATGAACAGAATGGACCGGGACGAGCACCTCTACACCGCGTTCCAGTACTTCGACAAGGACAACAGCGGGTAGCTTTTTTTGGTTTCTGAATCCTGATGCGACGCCGCCGTTGCTGTGTGCAGCGCCAGCGTCGAGTGTTCGGCAACTGGCCGGCAGTCTCACGCTCATGCTGCCATCCTGCCCTGCCACACAGGTACATCACGATGGAAGAGCTGGAGCAAGCCCTGAGGGAGAAGGGGCTGCTCGACGGCCGAGACATCAAGGACATCGTAGCAGAAGTCGACGCCGACAACGTAATTAATAAGTTGCCGATCGATCCGCTGTTCCTGTGCAATGTCGCACGGCCGGCCTAGATGACATTTTTGTTCATCAAATGTGTGTGATGCATGCATGCAGGACGGGCGGATCAACTACACCGAGTTCGCGGCGATGATGAGGAAAGGGGACCCGGAGCCATCCAACCCCAAGAAGCGGCGCGACGTCGTCCTGTAGAGGCGCACGGCGTGCGTGACGGCGGCGTGGAGCTCAGGAACAGATCGCACGGCTGTTGGCAGGAATCTTCATGGTGGCCCGCTGCAAGGAGAGACAAACGCGTGCGTTCTATCTCTGCACAGATGTATAATGCACGACGTATGTATAGCGCGAATGCCCGCGAGCGCGATGGGAAGGGAGGAGTGAACGAGCATTATTGTGAAAATGCTAATCGGGTGTCGATTGTTCTTGTGCGCATCTTGTTACTCGGATGTATAATAGACTGTTCATATTGTGTACCTGCTGTTGGCCTGCCAGACATCTCCGAGTATCGATGATTCTTTTAACCGCGCAAGACTCACCCACCGTGAGAATGAATGGGGAGTCGATTTTTCGTACCATAGCTCCCCTACCGCACCGTGCGGTCGCATAACTCCCCTAAAAAGAATATTTTTTCCTTATCATTTTTAAGTTTGTAGTAATCAATGTTTGTTCCTTATCATTTTTAAGTTTGTAGTAATCCGGAAGGTGAGTCCCGGTGCCGGTACGGTGACGAGATTTGTCTTCGCTTTCATTCATCCCTCGCCTCTTGTTGCTCTCAAGATGCCACTCCAGCATCATACCGTTTGCACGACTCAAATAAGGCATGAACGCGAGGCCTGACGTGTGTTCTGTTGGTATGGACGGGCATGTACACACATACAGCCTGTTCGGGAGGCCGTATCGTATCGTGGATTATTTACTGCTGGCTGGTTTGGTGTGAGAGAAAAACACTGTTCCCGACTGAAAATTTACGATCGTTTACGAGCAAGCTAACAGCCTGATATACTACTGTACATCCCAACGGATCGCGGACTGAGAACTGGAGGCTGACGTGTACATGTTCTTTTGGTGATCATCTTCAAAGTTCAGGGATCCGGATAACACTGTCAGTCAAGTTTAGGGGTCTACGGTAATCATCTGGAAAGTTTAGAGATCTGGATGACACCATATGTCAAGTTTAGGGAACCCACAGATATTATTTTAAAAATTTAGAAACCTAGATGACACCGCAGTCAAATTAAAGAGACCGACTGTGAATTTTGCCCTGTAGATTGGTATGGGACGAGTACAACAGAGCCGACGCAAAACTGGAAGCGTGGCCAAGCCAGATGCCGAATCGATCAGGGCGGACCAATGAAGAATCAACAGCATCAAGTCAGCATATGGCCCCCAGGCCCCAGCCTTGTGTACACTACAGTACAGCCAGTTTGTTTCAGGCCATGTTTAGTTCCAAACCTAAATTCCTAAAAAGTGTTATAGTAGCTATCACATCGAATCTTGCGATACATATATAGAGCATTAAATGTAGGCGAAAAAAAACTAATTGCACAGTTTGGTTGGAAATCGCGAGACAAACATTTTAAGCCTAATTGATCCATAATTGAACACTAATTATCAAATAAAAACGAAAACAGTGACCCAAATTCCAAAATTCGACCAACTAAACACGAGGTCAGTACAAGACTAGAAGCGGAATAACGTGACTGCTGCTGCTCTGCATTGCTGGGCCATGCCTATCCACGCACTGTACCAGTCAAATGTCAAATGCGAACCCGCGATCGACAGCGTCTCACTGGTTAATTAAGCGCCTGAGACCTACAGTGCTCATGTGTCGTGAAACAGTTGGGTATGCAGGACCTCCACGGGCCGGCCGGCTTGAAAAGCACTCCCCCGAAGAATGCAACAGCGGGTCACTTCTCGACAAAAATAGTTCACGTTTTATTAAATTTTTTAAATACATAATATTCATATTTATGGCTTTAAAATAATTTATTATAAAAATATATTTTATAATTAATATAATGATATTTATTTGATATTATAAATATTAATATTTTTTATCTATAATTAATCGAACTTAAGATACTGAATCATGACAATGTGGTAGAATTGCATTGTTTACTAAACGAAGGGAGTATTTGTTTAAAAAAAAAATGGGCACCGAAAGTGCCAGCTTCACTTAGCTTAACAGAAGATTCACAAGCAGATGACACGAAGTCAACAAGAAGCCACAAGAACTATCAGGGCTTCCCCAACGCTCCATGCTGCAGTAATGCCCCAGGCGCCACATCCGCACAGTGTAGCCGAATCACATAATGCAGTGGTTTCGTAGAAGCTACGGTAGTTTCATCTGATAAAGAAGGGAAAACAGCTGGGAGGCGTGTTGCAAGCATGGGGCAGTAGCTAGGATGGAATATACGAGACTAAGGGCGTGTTTAGATCCAAAATTTTTTTAGGTTTTGACTACTGTAGCATTTTCGTTTGTATTTGGCAATTAGTGTCTAAGTATGGACTAGTTAGGTTCGAAAGTTTCGTCTCGCGATTTCTCACCTAATTGTGCAATTAGTTTTTTTTTGTCTATATTTAATACTCCATATATGTACCGCAAGATTCGATGTGACGGTTACTGCAAAAAAAAATTTAATCTAAACAGGGCCTAAAAGCTAGGAGAGAGCCATGGTCCTGAAAAAAGCAGGCTGCAAAGTACCGATTGCGATGTGGACAATGATGGCTCTATTCGCTGTTGTCTATGTGAAGATCAACTTTTCTATGGGGCTATTGATGGTACTGTTTGCGTTAGTCTGTGTCCTTAGTGTTACAACTTATAAGGCTCATATTAGTGTTAGAAGGTTCATATAAGCCACGAAAGGGTTCGTTGGACCACTTAAAAAGTTTAGGATAAAAAAAATACAGTTTGATAGTTGATGGACATAGATAACACAATCTCAAAGGTTAATAGACCTCTGGTATATTTTGCTCGATACTCTCTCCATTCCAAATTATACGACGTTTGTGTTGAGAGTATATGTGTGTGTATGTGTTTGACCACGGCATGTAACTGCTTGAGCTGGTGAGCGCGGTCACCAAGCTCCATGAACGCGCATGTTCTGCGCCAGTTGTAGAGTGTAGACTCGGTTGCCAAGCAACCTCCTCTGATGTACACTATACATATTCATTGAGATCAATACACAACGGTGTTGGCTCCCATTATTCTTCTATACATGGTATCAAATGCGCGGTTTTCTCCCTGAACCAACCGCTCCACCACGCTCGCCGTGCTCACGCTTGCCGCACTCGCCACGGCCGTCTTCCATTTCTGCTGCATCCTCTCGCGCTCCATCTTCATGGATCGCAACCCGCTCTTCGACGCCGATGTCTCCGACGTCGACTCCTCCTCCCACTCTTCCCTCGATGATGAGTCCTACACCGGTGTCGCCGCCACCGCCGTCTCTACTCCTCCTGTCGCCGTTCTCCAAACCGTGAACATCAAATCGCATGTTCCCATCGTACTCGAGCTCACCGAGCCCAACTACACTGAGTGGCGCACCTTCTTCGACGCCTTCATCGGGAAGTTCGGTCTCGTTGATCACCTCACCTCGCCGCTGACCCCAGCCTAGCGCCGTGATCGCGAGTGGCAGATCATGGATCAGTGCGTGCTCAGCTGGCTCTACAACTCCGTCGCCAAGGACCCCCTTGCCATCATCCACGTGCCCAAGCCTACTGCCCACATCATCTAGCGCGGCATCGAGGACAAATTCCATAACAACGAGCTTCATTGCGCCGTGTACCTGGAGGCCAAATTCTGCAATCTCGTTCAGGGTGACATGGACATCGCCACGTACACCGACCGCCTCAAGCAGCTCGCCGACGCCCTCCGCGACATTGGCCAGCCCCTGCAAGAGACTAGCCAGGTGCTCAACCTCCTCTGCGGCTGTAAGGAAAATGGACCCTTGGCCCATTTACTTTGGATTTTGGTGTTTGATGACCAACACAACCAAATTGGACTAATGAATTTGCAAGTGTTTGTTTTATAGTCCAATAGGGTGCAAGACGTGACTTGGATGAAGGCGACGTGATGATCTGATGATCAACACCTCAAGCAAGACCTTAGAAGCACAAGAAAAGACCCAAGATGTCAAGCAAAGTCCAAGCATGAAGATAGGAACCAAGCCATGCGCAAGATCGCGAAGAAACGAGCTCACAGAGGCGACCGGACGCTGGACCGGACGCTGGAAGTGCGACCGGACGCTAGACCGGTGGCTCGGCAGACAGGCGACCGGATGCAAGGACCGGACGCTGGCGGCAACCGACCGGACGCAGGAACGCAGCGTCCGATCGAGTACAGAGAGGTTCCAAGCGCGCGAAACTACGACCGGACGCGTCCGGTGGCAGGCGACCGGACGCTGGCAGCGTCCGATCGGTAGTTCGCGGCTACAACGGTCGGGACGACCGGACGCGTCCGGTCAGGACGATCTCAGCGTCCGGTCAGTAGCAGAATTGCAGGAGTTCGACCCCAATGGCTACTTTCTCAATGGGGCTTATAAATACAACCCCCAACCGGCCATTTGACAAGTGTGGAGCTAAGGAAACATACCAAGGGTGTTGATACACCATTTTAGTGATCTCCACTTGTTAAGTGCTTAGTGTTTCATCAGGTGATTAGCATAGGTGCTTTGCGAAGTGCTTAGGTTGATTAGACCACCTCTTATGCGCTTGCTCTAGGTGTATGCCTAGTGTTTAGTGAGGTTTGCATACCTCTTGCCACCCCGTGCTTGCGAGCACAAGAGTTGTACATTGGAGGGGCTTGAAGTCTTGTGAGATCGCACCAACCGCGTTTGTGGTGCGGCCGCCACCGTGTACTGAAGGGAACAAGGCCCGCGGCGTTTCGGCCGAAAGCTTGATAGTGAAGACGGCGAGGAGCATCCGGGAGAGGCTTGCCGAAAGGCACATCGGAGACCCATTTGCGCGTGGGGAAGGCCCGATGCTATCCACGGAGTTACCCGACCGGAAGCTTGGCCCTTGCGAGGGATTCCTTGCGAGGGGCTCCAACGAGGACTAGGGGAAAGCTTGCGCGCTTCTCGATACCTCGGTAAAAATACCGGAGTCGTCGACGGGAGTTTGCATATCTCTACCTTGCTCTTTAAGCTTCCGCATTTACATTGATCTTATTATTATCATTTGCGGTAGAGATAGCAACA